GCGCCATAAATAACAGAGAAAACTCAATTTCATCACCTTCCACCGCACTGTCATAGGAACATATCTCAAGCTGTCTCCTCACAGTATCCACACTGTCCTTGTAGTATCACATTATCCTCCCACTCCGACCCCACACCCACCCCTTCCTCTGCTCCACTCACCCCTCCCTTTTCTAAAACAAAGCAGGAGGTGGTTTAATTATCATAATCCAGTTGCAAGTAATTAGGATAGGTCAGATGGTACACTCGAACGGTGTTCGTCCCACTTCGCACACTCCCTGCATCGGTTCTATCTCCCCATCCATTTGCTTGGACAGCCCTATCAGTGGGTAACATCTCCCTACACCACCGCCGCCTGTCTGTTCATGATAGTGACTGTGGCAGTCATCTCCACAGAGGCGAGCGATGTGCTGCCAGCCTCTCTGTCTGAGCCAGACGAGACCGTATTAATGTCTACTGCAGGCGTGTTGGAGCATCAATTAATCGCTGTTTAAAACGGGCAAAAATGCATTTAATATACTTAAGCTTAATTAATACATTGCTACTAATTTTGCAAGGCTAATTAATCAATTTGAGGCTGATTTGTGGTGCTAAGATATTCAGATTATGTTGTTTGGAAGAGAACGATACTAAATGGCATTATTTAATAGAGTAAGTTTATTAACTAAACCAATAACTGGGGGGAAGCACAAAGACCGGGAGTTGAGTGGAAATAAAAATGTTAGGGAAAGAAATTAAAAACAACAACAACAAAATAGAAAAACACACACAACCAAGCAACTCTGAAGCTAAGAACTGAAACTGAAGCGAGGATTGATTGATTGGGACTTGAACTACATGCTTTGTGCACTTATAGTGCTGTTTATACCGAAGCAGTGAAAGAAACCACAGTGTTCTGGCAGGAAAGCAAAAAGAGCTACAGAGTAATTGGGAGGGCTTTGCTTGGAGGGACAGAGAGGACTTAGGATAGGATAAAGAACGGAAGGTGAAGGGAGGGGTGGTGGTGGTAAACCAAGACCTATGAACTAGACACTAAGTGCTGAGATGTAAAGCAAATAAGCCTGTAAGAAAACAATCCCAGGGACATTGACCAGTGACAGGCCACCTTTCCTGTTCTCTCCTGAGAGTGTTTCCATGTACAGTATTCAGTCCACGTGTACACACACACAGACTGGGTTATCCAAAGACTGCTGAACCTGGACCAGTGCGTCAAACCACTCTGCCACTATTGTTGTTGTCTCTAAAAGAATGAGAACTTTCTCCAACTCGGTGAAGAAAAAACTAAAGACCGTGTTTGTGCCTCTAACATATTTGTAACTAAGATAGTTGAAACTCTTGGTCCAGTCACTCAATTTGTGGTATCGGAGTCAGCCTCCCCACCATCACAGACATTTACACCTCCATATGCAGGAAGAGGGCCACCTGCATCATGAAGGACCCCACTCACCCAGCACACACACTTTTTGCCCTGCTCCTCTCAGGCAGTAGGTTAAGGAGCATTAAATGCAGAACCACTAGACTGAGGAACAGCTTCTATCCTGAGGTTAAACTCATGAATCTCTAACCAGGATAATCAGTGTGAAAATCACTTCATGCTGCTGATTTGTTTCATGTTGCTGCTGATCTGTTTCATGCTGCTGTGTTCATTTGTACTCATTTGCTCACACAGACTCATGTCCGTGCTACTATTCAACGTATTGTTTTAATATTACACTAATGCTTAGTGTATTTTTAGTTAACATTATTCTTCGTTCATATCTTAGATTTTATTAGTTTTTCTTTTACATTTTATACTTTTGTTGGATGTAACTAGGACCCTGTGTACACAATTTTGTTCCACCACATGTGGTACATGTGGTGCGTATGACAAATAAAGAAACTCAGATTCTGATTGACAATTTACCACATCTTCTTCTGATTTTTTTTGGATTCATCTTTTTTTAAAAAACTTTGGACGCTTGATCATGTCAAGTCTCTGGGGGCATGGTGGCTCCGGTTTCCTCCCACAGACCAAAAACATGCATGTTAGGCTTATTGGTAAATCTAAATTTGTCCTAGGTTAGAGAGTGAATGGTTGTTTGTCTTGTTTGTCTCTATGTGTCTTTGTAACGAACTGAAGATCTGTCCAGGGTGTCCCCCACCTCTCGCATAGTGACTGCTGGACATGGGCACCAGTGACCCCCATGACCCAAGAAAGAAGAAGTGGGTAAAGATAATGTATGGATGTCAATTCTCTGGGTGGATCTTGTTTTTAATCACCTGCTAAACATTGTTAAAATAAGTTATTTTATGTCGCACTGTGAACTCAAGAACCATTCCTTTCTTATATATAGAACTTTACTAATTGGCTTTTCTATGTATATGAATCTAAAAAAAGTTCAATCTGGTTCAATCCAGATTGAACTTTTTTAGATTTTTCTACCTGGATTATTGAGCATGCATCAGGATATGTATATAAATGTTTCTGTTCAGTGCCCTGAGACAACTTTGTTGTGAATTAGTGCTCTAAATAAAATGAATTGAATTGAATTGGATTTGTTTATACATGTCTCGATTACTTCAAGTCTTTGTCCACCTGCCTTAATAAAGCCTTCTTATGTTGCTTGCAGATTGTTCAGCAAGCTTTTGCGAGGCTCTTATTGCATCCTCTAACTATCCATCTTTTACACTAGTGCTGTATCAGTTGCACTGGCTTCCTATCAATTTTAGAGTCCACGTTAAAGTTCTCGTTTTGATCTACATGGTCAAAGCAGTCATTCGTTGTAAAACCTTTACATCCATACTTCCCCAGCAGGTCCCAGAGATCGAGTGAAAATGGCCTGTTTGATGTACTATTAAGCACTTTGTGACATTTATCTTGAAAGGCGCTATATAAATACAAATTTGCTTACTTATTCTGTCGTTCATTTTATTATAAACCTGATTCATTGGTCATATTGCAAATTATTTTTACCCAAGCATGATTGAGTCAGCTCAGCCAAAGCAGCGAGGTGAGGAAACTCTTGAGATTATCGGCCAAAAATCACTTATCTTACGACTCATCTTTAACAGCAAGAGGGGGAAAAAACGCAACAGACAAAGTTGTAACTTGAGTGACAGAAGATCACATAAATAAATTGTTTTCTCAAGTAAAATCCAATCTCAGACCACTAAGCATTTAGCTGGTATTTTTGTGAGGCATTAAAGAGGAAATGGTACAGCGCCAGAATAATGTTCACCAACCCATCATCACTACTTTTGCGACGTGTCCTGGCTTATTGCCCCTGTCCTCCCCCACAGCTTAGTGAAACCCTTATGTTATTGGCTAAACACAGCCAGCTGTAGACAGTTAACTGTCTTATCTCACATCAGTCAATTTCCCCAAACAAGGAGAGGTAGGAAAGTGGAGCAGAAGTCATAGCACAAGGGAAAAAAAGAGTATATTCGCACTGAGCTACCATCTCTTCTAGACGTGTGTGTGTCTGTGTGAACATTTTTTTGTTTAAGACCTAAATGATGATGCTCGAGGACCACACAGAGAGAAGTGGCTGTTATAAGGGTCAGTTTTTTTTACCAACTGCTTGCTGCCCAACGCACTCGTATTTCCTTTCCATCCATCCATCCATCCACCCATCCTTCCATCCATCCATCCATCCATCCATCCATTATCTTTACCTGCTTCTTCTATTCTGGAAACTGGGCTCACTGGTACTAGTATCTAGCAGTCACTGTGCGAGAGGCGGGGTACACCCTGGACAGGTCTCCAGTCCATCACAGGGACACATGGAGACAAACGAGACAAACAACCATTCACTCTCTAACTCACACCTAGGGACAATTAATCGTTTAGCCTAATGTGTTTTTGGTCTGTAGGAGGAAACTGGAGTACTCGGAGAAAACTCGCGCATCTACAGAGAGAATATGAAAACCACCCAGAAAGGCCCCCCGACCAAAAAGCCACCTTTTGTCGTGTGTTTTGAGTGTTTGAGCATGAACCTTTTGGTCCCTCATGGACAATTAAATGAGAACATTTCCAAAATGAGAAACATATGGAGCTTTTTAATTGGCTAATTTTTCTTACAAACGTGTGTGGCTTTTTTCAATCTAAAAACCAATGAAAAGGAAAAAAAAAATTGCTATCTAGTCAGACATGCATATTGCAGCACAGAGCATTGCACACATTTTCATTGTCCTTCCGTACAGAGTAAAACAGCCCTTCTGTTCCCTGGATTAATAGCACCATTACTGGGAATCCATGTTCAGTATACAAGACCATTCTTCAGCATCCTGTCAGTGAGATGCACACTTTTGAGTCTAGATATTTGAGTAAATTTGTGTTTCTCTCTGAATATCTATTATGCTAAGCAAGTAATGGTGCATGTCAAAGCACATCTCCAGTTGAGGTTTATGGTAAGTTTACCAGGCTTTGCTTTGGATTTTCTTGCTAGCCTTAACCCTACACTTTGTCATGTGAGGTTACAGGGGGTGACTGCAACAACTCCTATCTGGGGAGTTATTGTTCTACACATGTCCTGTGTAATCTGTCCGACCCACAGCGCTTAGAATAATTATTCATATTTAATCACCAAACTACAAGGCTACATCGTCTGCCGCTCGCTAAGTCATTTTCCATGTTCCATTATCAAAGTTTCAGAGACGGGTGCTCAGGGAAGGGGGACTAAATGGAGAAGCAGAAGTAGTTGGGCTTATAAAAACATAATGGGCTTGTCTGGTTTGATAAACTGAGGACGTGTATAGAATGCACAGGAACCCCCTTCCCCCCAATACACATGCGCACATACACACTAACGCACACAGACACACACAATAGTACACACATCACATTCACTTTACATGAGAAAAGTGCAAAGAACAAAGTAGGGGATATAAAGTGGTCGTATATGAGTGCAGATGGTAAGCAACAAGACAAGTCGGTAAATTTCAACTATGAATACAAATGGTCACACAGAGTTAGAGCCAAGATTGTTTTGTTCTTCATTAAATTTCCCAGGAAGGGCTCACCTTGCTCTAAAGGTGGAGGTTTCACACCCGAAGCCTTTAACTTAAGAGCTTCTTTTGCAGACATATCACAACAGGAGCCTTTGTTGGTGTCCTGGTCGCTGTCCGCCTGGTCGCTGTCGCCATGGCCGCTGTCCCTGAGGCTCGCTCGCTCTGGGTCTTTGAATGTTGAACTACTGCATGAAAAAACAAACAACCAATGCATTTCTACTGAATAAAAGAAACTACAGAATCTTATATAATATGTTAGGACTTTTTTTAGTAAATAGAACACAGTTATTCACTCCTTTAAGCCCTGATAGATTTTTTTTTTATTTCCCTTCATTACATAGTAAATACACATTAAGCACAAGTACTGTTCTTATGGTACTGTGAGCAGAATGTATTTTTAAAAAAACAACAACAAAGGTCTGACACGTGGTTATTGGTTATAGATTCCAACTCTTACCTTTGGACAAACTGTTGTCTGCTGCCCATATAATTAGGCTCAGTGGGGAAACTGTCGGTCTGTGGAGGAGGAAGAAGAAAGTTTGCCATAAGCCTAACATAAACCATGCCTGCTGCAAATCAAGAATTTCTGGTGACATGTGATTAATTATGCAGAACAATGAGGCAGAGGATAGAATACAAATATAATTTTTAAAAAGTGCAAGCTCAATATGGCCAAATTTGAGAAGTTTGCAAACCAAATATAATGGGAGAGTAAACCACAAAATTAAACATCAGGACCAGCAGACATCAGACAATCAATGACTCCTAGGATAACGTCCTGATGAGAATAGAAAACTCCACGACTGCCATGTTGAACTCTTGGCTGGACATCTTTTAACTAGATTACAGTACAATTTGTGCAGAAATTAAAATGCAATTTGCTCCCTGTTCCTGTTGGAAATGGCTAACACTTTGAAATTCAACACCTTCTTTCCCATTTCCACACAAACAAACAAACTGTATTATGAGGAACTGGAGCTTGTGTGAGTTGATCCGTGTGCCGTTTATTTGATACGGGCAACATGATCATGCACAAGAGGATTTGCCTTACATGGGTCAATTGGCAAATAAAAAATGCAGGAATTCTTGTTTAAACATGGATTCATGAAGATTTCATGACAGTAACAGTATTAAGCATAAATAGTTCAATGTTTTCCTCAGGACTGCATGAATCTCTGGATCAATCGCACCAGCTGTAAAGCACTTTGTTTTTCTTTCAGTCTGTTCTCCCTTAGTAATTTTCCCAAAGTACAGTATATTAAGTCATTAAACCATGTTAAAGGAGTTTAAAGGTCACAAAGATATTGGTGTGTTTACTGGCATTTGCAAAAAGACAAGTCCATTACCCCAAAAGTTGGGTTGTTGTGTAGAATGCATATCAGAACAAAAATGCAATGATCTTGAACTTTATTTGGAGGAAAAGACCTTGCATGAGCAAGACACTGCACATAAACCCTGTTTTTGGTTCAGATTATTACAGGAATATAATCATTGTCCCTGTTGCGTTGAGGCAGGAATGATTGAAACAAATGTCTTAAAGAGAAACTGCTCTCATGCTGCTGCGTCTGTATTCATCACAGCCACACAAATAATTACACAATGTCGTGCACAACTCTCGCTCTCAAATTCAGAGCAGTAAAATGTCATGTTTGGTGAGTAATGTGTTGTTGTGCCAGGCTTTTTCACATGCACAGCTTGACTCACAGTCGATAGAGTATTTCAATGTCATCCATGCACTGCAGTGGCTCGGTATGAAAAAGGGTGCGTGAAGGTCAGACAGGCCACCTCAGTACTTTGACCTTCCATGCTTTTGCTAACACCTTTATCTCAACCTAAACACTTTATTCCACTTCAGCTTTCACCAATTTGAAAAGAAAACACCCACAGAATATGTCAAATGCTGGAATCTGATCGTAAAAGTAAGAGAAGGAGGAATGTTTGAAATTATTTGGCAATGAAATGATAACAGAAGCAGAAAAGAGATTTTGAAAAGAGAGAAAAATGATCAAGAAGGGGAGATGGAATCTTTTGTGCCCCAGCTGTACTTTTATGACCAGGAAACCAACCTTGGACAGACTTTTCAATCAACTCTGCATTATTAACACTGAATGTGATCTCAAGGAAATGACAGAAAATGTTTTTTTGTTTTTTTTTTCATTTTTATTATTGTTAACTTACCTAATCTAATTTTTGCATCTGTACATAGTTTGTTGGACTATCTACATGATAACACGAAGCAAAAAGGTTCAACCTCATGAGTAGCTTAGATAGGACCAAAAGAGAATGCTCAAAAGGTGTCCCTCATACCTACAGTATTTTTTTTTATACAAAAGAAAAAAACAACAACAATACAGTTAAAGAAGCATGTCTTTCACCCCACACAAGTCAATAAAAAACACATTAGACCACTTCATGAAAACCTCTTTCCTGCCAATTAAGAGTTTAGGCTGATCTTAAGCCTCCATCTCTTCCTGTCTGACTATACTGCCTAGCCCTTTCACAACAACGGGCCGCTTTCCAATTAATGGGTCGATAACAGGCTGCATGAACTGCTCTGTACCGAGCTGATCCGAGCCCACAATAAATACAGGATAATTTGAGGGAAGGCGATAAACTGTAACCCTACAGTGCATAAATTCATTTAGAATTCTAAGTAAAGTCTGTGGTGAGAAAAGGTAACCTTTTGAAATCAACCGAACTAACTTGACCTCAATCAAAATGATCACAACTGGTTTAAAAATCTCTCTGGCTTCTTGCCTGAAAATATAACCCTTTAATCTCCAATTTATAGGCATCCTTCTAGGTATACTTCTTTGTTTGGAGTGAGGGTACGTCTTTTTAAAGGCACATTGCTCTACAATGTGTTGTATCTACTTCATAAGGCAAGGCCACAAAGGTCACAGAGGCACTGAATACAGCGAGGCTGTGTAAGTGTAAAAAGCTGCACTCTATTTTGTATTCCCATTGAGACCCTAAGACTGACCGCTCAGACAGCAGGCCGATTGAGACAAATGGGACAAGAATATTGGTGTGCAACTCTACTCTCAGGGCAAGTTGGCGAATTCTGTTCATTTCTGTGTCTATATTTATGCACCACTTTCTTTGTAACTGTGTGCCTTACATAGAAATGGCAAACAACGACAAATTACATCTTCTGCTTCACATATCATTGGACAACTCGTTAAACGCCTTGCCACTGATAAGTGCAATTCCATTTGATTATCTTATTGGTCCTTCTCAGGTGTAGGTGAACTGCCACAAAAACACACGTTAGGCTGATTGGTAACTTTAAATTGTCACTAGGTGTGAGTGATAGAGTGAATGGTTGTTTGTCTCATTTGTCTCTATATGTCCATGTAATCAACTTGTGACCTGCCCAAGGTGTACCACACCTCTTGCGGTGACTGCTGGATATGGACACCAGTGACAACCATGACCAGAAAAGAAAGAAGCCGGTAAATGATAATGGATGGATGGATGGATGGATGGATGGATGGATGGATGGACGGATGGACGGACAGATGGATGGACTTGTTTCCCCACTCTGTCGGCGGGATCGTCAATGCAAAGTGAGTGGTTTCTTGTAGCGCCGTCCAGTTCGCACTGAATCCTCTTTCCATCAATAAAGACAGAATGGAATGGACTTCGTCTTTGGTCCACGTCACTATTTTTGGAACATCTACACTGAACTAGAAACTAGAACAAAACTAACTCAAATTCTACAAAGACCAGAGAGGAAATGGCGGTTCAGATGTGGTTTGCAGTTTTGCTTGGGGGGGGGGGGGGGGGGGCGGGGCTGCAGGGACGGGGAAGAATAGGGAGGATGAGGAGGAGGTGGGGGTGACTTTGGAATTTTCTTACTGGCCAGTTTTGTGACGTAAAATAAATTTGAGGCTGAGTTGAGAAAAATACGTAAGACTGTTGCTGTGCGTACAAGAAAAATAGGGGAAAATCCTTATAATTTCCAGAGAATCCATAAGACATGACATGCACTATATGTGCTGGTTGGGTCATCCAGTGATGTAGCTCCGCTGGTCAAGAAACAGCTGCCGCCTGCTTACGTTAAAACCGTCACCTTGGACCAGTTTGTTTGGAGCCATGAACCAGATGGTCCTATGAACCGGGCTGAGTGGGCATGGGTACCGGCAGTGAGCAGGCCCTTAACTGGTGTGGTGTGGCGCGGAACTGATGAGTGTAGAGAATGTGGCAAAGCACTATTTTATTCAGACAAAAACTAGCACACCACCTCTCCCCACCCATCAACCTATTGTGATAAATATGATGCATGCATTTCTCTTTTACTGGCTTCCAGAAAACTCACTTAATTTGGTTTGTATGTTTGTGAGTGCAAGTGAGTGCAAGACCAGAGAGGTGCCGAAAGCAGCAACAGCCAGGGAAAATAGGATAAACTGAGAAAAACAGTACAGAAGGAGAAATAAACATTGGTGGGAAGATAAGAAAGCTGAAAATAAATGATAACAAAAAGTGGCAAAAGAGTAAAGTGAGAAGACGATGAAAGATGTTGGACAAAGGGTTAGAGAAACAAGACAATCATGGGGCAACGTTGTTCATCTGATAGGTGATCAGCGATTGCAAATGATCAGATTAAATTACTGTAGATAAGACACAGATCAATGGACTTAAATAAACTTAAAGTCAACACAACGCCTGTAGGTATACACCATTAGATGTTACTTTTTCATTCCTTAATTGAAAAAAGAAAATACATTTTATTGTAAAAACATGTTTGGTTTACAGGTGACATGGCAGGGATGTCGCTAACATTATTATTATTTAATCCTGGATAGTTGTGGTACAGAAAAATATAGATTTATCATTCAGTCAACAAATTCTTCACCTCTGTTTGTTGGTGTGCTGCAAATAAACCTGTTTTGTTTTTCCAATTAAGACCAACCACTTGTGTGCTGTTAATATGCTCCATTCGTGTCTATTGTAAAAATGATAAATGCAATAAAGTCTATCCAAACAAGCGGTGCTGTCATCTTATATTTATGCACAGTGAGTGTTCAGTTAAACATAAAATCAACACATTCAGCTGCCGTTAGATTTATTGAAAGCAGAACGTGTCTCTTAAGATTCAGAGACAGGTTGTGGAGAAGATACATGTCTGAGTCAGCAAGTGAGGAAGTCAAATTGTCAAAGGCCTTTCAGATGCTTCTTCAGAGATGTCGTGTTTAAAAGCAAATCTCACCATGTTGCAAATATGCAAATAATAAAGCATTATGTTTGGTCAGTGAAAATAACATATATATATGGGAGCAACAAAGGCAAATATGAGAGGTCTCCTTGTGTCAATAAAGTGACACAAAATCCTAATTTAAATGTTTTTAAAGGACGATCGCTTGATTCATGATACAACTCTTACTGTTCCCAGCCTGTGTAATGTTTTTTTTTTCTTCTTTGCTGGTTTCAATTGTTACATATCAGCAACACTTAACCAACCTGAAGCCCTTTTCCAAGAAGCCTGGGTGAGCTATATCGCTGACAAAGGTCCA